AAGTGTCATCTGCAGCGCCGGTGTGATACAAGGCTTTTTATAGAGAACAAGTATACCACGCCGCAGTCTGTTCTGTACTGTTTTACGGCTGTGAGATGTGGCTGTTAAAAGTAGAAGAATAAAGCGATTACAGGGTTTTGACCATCAGTAGCACTACTCGCGTCTGGTAGAATCACCGCCTGAGAAATGTTGAGGATAGGTGAAGAGTACTAAGCAAGACAAGTAAGTTGACTAAGATGACTTTGAAGTGTACTGCACACGTGGAGTCACCGCCTACCTTGACATCTTATGCTAAGGGTAGCTGGATTAATTTGAAAAAGGGTCCAGGGTGACCAGACTAGGATGCGGTGCGAATCAATGAAGTCGACTGTTGGTCTGAATCATGTAGAGAGATTTAAACTTCCAGGTTGGGGTCCCCTGGACGAAATGAATCAAAGGGTTGAGGAATCTTAGTAACATGGCTGGAAATCAGTCATAATGGTGCGAAAGTATTCACTTATAGACGTCGTCTAAAGGTTGAAAACTTCCACTAACCGTTATCTTCAGACTGTTTACTCTCTCTCTCCTTTCATGTCACTCTTTTTCCATCCACTTGTTTCTGTATACTACTGTGAATACTCGGTGTAACTTATACAAACAGGACTTGTATGAGGAATACCAATAGGCATAGTAAAGTTGTCAAACGTTCTTACTGTCTAAGAAATATTAAATTATTATTTGTCCCTTGGGTTCCTAGTGAAATACACGGTTTCAGCAGCACGCCTCCAATCTCGTTACCCAGCCAGAGTTCCTCCTTGCTTATTCTTTCTGGACATCTGAGCTTCAGTACCGAGTGAGCGTAGGCGGAAGTTGTTGATGAATGTCTGTAGTTTGTTAGAAATGCTTTTCGTAACGCGCCAAGTCTCCCAACCATCACATACAAGCACTGACTCGACATTGGTGTTGAAAATCCGGATGTTGTTCACGTTTTATGCTGAGTGCAGATCCCCACACTGATTTCAGATTACTGAAAGCCTGCGTTGCTGTCTTTCCGATCCTGGCTGCTTTGACGTAGTCGTCTGTATCTATGCCACCTGTAGTTTAGAAAGTTCTGCCTGCCTAGATAGGTGACAAAGGCTTCTTCCTCTAAGTTTCTCCCGTTCATGGTGAATGGAGCTTGTTTTGTTGTTGTTGGTGGTGATGCTGGTTGGGTATCATCATCACCTCCTTCTTCTCTATGTTTACTTGAAGTCCCATCTTCGATGAACTACCTCTTCTGTCAACTTGTTGGATTTCACCTATGGATCTACAAGTTTGTGTGACATTAGACACAAGTCATCATTGGCGAAATCCAAATATTCCGGGATCTCCACCCCAGTCAAGCAACCTACCCCCCTCTTCTCGCTCCTCACGATTTGCTACATGATACAGTCAACCACAATCAGGAAGACCATGCATGGATGATAGTAGACAGCAGCCTTGTCTTTCTCCTCCCTGTCTTCACTTCACTTCACTTCACTTCAAAGGCATCACTGAGCTTCCCATTGTGAATTACTTGACATGTGGCATCTTCATATGGTTGTTGAGTGAGGTTGATAGGGATTTGTGGCACTGAAACCATAGTGTTGAAGCAGCTGCCTGCTAAATTATTTGTTGGTCGATGCTGTGGAAGGCCTTTTCAAAGTTGATGTAGTTGAGGTAGAATTGAGTTGCCATTCTGTCATTCTATGCTCTGTTCTATGATGATGCATAGTGTAGAGTTGCAATTTGATCTGCACACGATTTGTACTTCCTGAATCCAGCCTGTTCGGGTAGTAACTTTTGAATCCAGCGTATGCTTTAGTCTGTCGAGGATGATGTGGCTTAATATTTTGCTTAGGGTGGACAATGGCATGATTCCGCGTCTCCCTTCTTTGGGAATTTGACAAGATAGCCCTTCTTACAGAAGCTAGTTATTTAGGACATACCACTCTGTTAGTTATCTGATGTATAAGAAACGATTTTGGAAGCCTAACAGTTTCAAACTTTGAGAATAACAATCAGCGCCGATGATATTGTCTAGAAAGGCAGTGAAAACTTCATAGTTAGACTACCTAGTTCACAGAACGTAACTTAACTATAGGTTATGTTGTGAACTGACAGAAGTGTGAAATATAGACCATTACATACCGACTCATTGACTCAGTGTTGATGTATTGGTCGCGGGACCTTCAGGTCCTGAGTTCGATTCCTGGAGGCGTAGGTGGGTCCATGGGTATGTACTGCTGATGAAGAATAGTAGTCCGAATCAGCTATCCAGTACTCCCACGTTTTCATTGTTTTTCTAACTGATATGAGATGATTATGAATACCAACCTCTGATAATTGACATCTAGTTTTTTCGTGAATATTTTCAAAAACTTTTAGAAGGTCTTCAGATTTGTAAGTTATTCAGGATAGCAGGTTTATTAAGTTTAATCAACCCTTTTCTTGATGTGAAATATTCACATATTCTAACTTCTTCAAAACCGTAACATAAATTATTTAAATTATCATGATCACTCTGTGTTTTTATGTCAAACCTTAATCTAAACAGATAGATTACCCACGTTTATGTACTTTTAATATGTATAAATTAAGATTTTTGTTATAAAATAGATTACTACTGAATTCATTCTTGTCAGTAGACATACTTAAATTATTTGTAATGAAGAAATTCATGCAATTTTTTTATACTGAAGTATTATATTGATATAGAATGAGGATTATTTAAACTTAGTACATGCGTATCTGTGTTTACTGACTTAAAATATAGCATGTGAAATGTACACTCCTTGAAATTACATTGAGAAATTTCCATCAGTGAGGCAATTCCAGTTGGATGTGAAGAGTGTTAATCAGTGATGGGATTAGATGAAGGTTGGACTATATCACGAATTAACATAAGTAGGACATAGGATTTCTTATTCAATGGCCAAGTGATAACGTGCTGGCTGCTGATCTCTCCAAATGATTGAAATAGTCAGTTGGTTGGCCTTTAAAGTCACTGCAACAACCGAGATAACAAATTACGGTTGCCCAACTAACTTCCTAACCAGAATATCAAAATCTAATTGGTTATTTCAGCAGTTACTGGGGCCTTTAAGGTGTCCCTTAAAGTGATTCGATTTTTGAACCTAAAATTATAAATTAGGAGTGCCATTCCACTAACCGAGTAGAATAAAGGAAAGTAATTGGTTATCTTAGCAGTTGTGAAAGTGGCTATACAATCACTCTAAGGTCATCCTATCAGTGACTGAGATTTGATTTCTTGGTTTCCAGTTGGGAGGACAAACTTTCATAAGATAAAGGATTCTATTCGATTATTTTGGTTGTTTTCAAGAGAAATGTCGGGTTTAGATACTGTAACGTTATCAGGTTAGGCAGACATCAATAAATAAGGCGAAAATAGTTGAACTAGGATCAATAAATAACCATGACACAAACTTGAGAAAATAATCGGTTACAAGTGATAAGAAATTTGTCACATATATCCTACTACCAAGCGTAATTCAAGAGTGAGAATACACCGATGCAAATCTCATAGTAGAGGTTTTTTACACTACAATTTTGAAAAAAACGTCTAGAGTTTGCCACAACTTCATTTGACTGCTTCTCAATGACAAAAATTTTCTTGGTAATAATTGTGTATTACGCATGACTAAACAACATCTGTCCTGTGGCAAGATGTTAACTGTGAAATGGATACTGGCAATCAGACTGAAAGGTCACATCAGTCTGTAAACATGTTGACTGTTGGTTTCAATCGTGTACAGAAATGTAAACTTCACGGGTATGTCTACGCGATGATAAAAACCGGTGATTGAAGAGTGTATGAAATGACTTGCAGTCAACACCAGTGGTAAAGATTTATCTATACATCACTATCATAATAATCTTCTTATGAGATCTCATCGCTATCTTATTCCTCCTTTATCTCTTTCTACTGAGTTCCACCACTTTTGGTTGCACCCTTCTCTATTTCTTTATTTTTAACCTTAATGTATGGTAACTCAGCCAGTCCCTTTGTTGATATTGTCCATTTGTAGATAGGTGTAAAGAAGGTGAAGAATGAGACAAGTATCCTTCTGAAGGTGGTAATAACACTAAACTATTTAATTATAGTGAAATCGAAAAAGGGTGGTGAAAGTGTTAAGACCATGTTAAGATGAGATGTTGAACATTCTTCTTTCGCACGCAGAGATCAAGCTTGAATTGATTAATTGCCAGTGCTTCCACTGTGCACAACTGTCGAAGGCGTACTCCTTTTGAACTATTCTGTCTCACATGATGAATGACACTGAAGGAGGATTCTGGTCCAGCTTTATGTCCAAAGTTGACCAAATGTTCAACAATTGAACTGTTAATTGAATTACATTCTCCGCTCGACAACCATGCAGGATAGTGCTCAGAGATAAGTTAAGGAATCGTGCGCTTTGTGTGGCCTATATAACTAGCTCCACAGGAGCAAGTAAATTTGTAGACACACATCGAGGTAGCCCAAATTGGCAACCTGTCCTCAAAGCACTCCGGAATGAGTTGTTGACTAGAGAATCTGATCTGCAGCTTCGCAGAGAAGAATGTCTTTTTCAATGATCTAGAAAACCGATACTTCAGGATCTCTGCCGCTGCATCGCCTTTGAAAACAATGTTCATAAACAAGGTCTTCTTAGGAACTGTGAGTACTCGCTCCGTATTCTGATTTACTTTCAACTTCTTATCCATAAATCTGGATGGATATCCATTTAGCTTGAGGAATTTCGTAGTTTATCTAATTCTTCGTCGATAGGCCGCACAAAGCGCACGATTCCTTAACGTATCTATGAGCACTATCCTGCACGGTTTTCGAGCGGAGAATTATACGCTATTGTTTTATAATAAACTGTTATATGTTTATGAAATATACATGAATACGATTTTACAGATATAGAAAATGATATCGTCGAAAAAGAAACTTTTCTTCGGTGAATTATCTCGTATCTATTTTTCTGATTTTTTAAAAGAATCTATTCAATCAATGAAAATGTTTTTAGAAGCTGTTAAAGCTCAACTAAAGGAATTGACTGAAAGATCCATTGAAAATGAGCATAAACTACGCTCAGAAAAGTGGAAAATTGAAGATACTATTTGCGCAGAAATTTCAAAAAATGACTCAGATCTCTTTGAAATACAGGTAAGAGTGAATAGGTAAATGTTTTAGTTCATCCCAATACTAATGACTATATATATATATATATATATATATATATATATATATATATATATATATATATATATATATATATATATATCTTTCATTGCATACTCTAGTCAAACATATTAAGGATTCGAGCTCTACAGTTATCATTCTAGCTGGGAAGTATTTTTGGGGAGAAAAATACTCAGAATTCATTTGAATGATAAGCGTAGACTTGGTTTATTTCTTGGTTGTATTGTGTTCTCTGAGCTGGGTTGTTTAATCGTGATGCTTTCATCGTCTTTCTTCTAGACGACTTCATCAACACTAACTTCAGGCAGAGGAATTATTCAAAGACGAAAATGTGTATCAACCACTTGAAACTAACCTTATCCAAAAGTTCAACAACCAGATCAATAAAACCTTGAACAAACTCTTCAAAGTAGAAGAAATAAGAAAACAAGACAAATGGAGAATGAAACAGAATGGATCTATCCTTCCTGGATTCTACAGCAGAACGCACAAAACTCAAATGTTCAAATCTGATGGAACTCATCGATTTTTTTATGACAACATACTTCCAGTTCAACGGCAAGATATACAAACAGATGAAAGGAACTCCAATGGGATTATCGATATCCCGATTAATAGCAGAAGCAGTGATGCAGAGACTGGAAGCCATTATTTCTACCTGTGATCAAACCAAAAATTTGGATTCGTTATGTAGACGACACTTTTGTCACCATTAAAAGGATGATATAGAAAACACCCAGAGTTTAATCAACAACGTTTTCAATGACATTAAATTCACAATGGACAAAGAGTCAAACAACCAACTTCCATTCCTGGATGTTTTAGTCAGTAGGACAAATGCCGGAAAGCTGGAAACCCAAGTGTACAGGAAGCCAACACACACTGTCCAAACCCTCAACTATAATAGCAACAACCCAACGACACACAAAATCAGTTGCGTGCAGACTCTATTCAAAAGAGCGAGAATACACTGCAGCACAAAAACTTCAAGGAGAAATGAAGAAAACTACTTGATGTCCACCCTTAAGAAGAACGGCTACCCACGAAACTTTATCAGAAGATGCCTATCCCGTACATCATCAACTACAAAGTCATTGACAGAAATCAACAAACGCATCGTCCTACCATTCATAAAGAATGTATCAGAAATCACTACAAGATTACTGAATACCCTTGGAACTGGTGTGGCTCATGAACCAACTAATCCTCTCCAAACACTATTATGCAGACTAAAGGATGCAATAAGCAAAGAAGACAAACCGAATATCATTTACAAAATCAACTAGAATAACTGTAGTCAACACTGCATTGGACAAAGTGACCACCCTCTTCGTCTACATGAGTATTAATTGGCTATTAAACGTCACAGCATTTCATCACTCATTTCAATGCATGTGGATAACAACTATGGACATAAATTCAATTTCGACAATGTAGAAATGTTGGAAGGAGGGAGGAAACACAAAGAATATCATCAGAGAATTCCTAGAAGCTTGGCATTCAGGTCAGTCAGCAATCAATAGATGTATAGACACAGACCCAATCTATCAACCAGTAAGAAAAAACGATAAACGACAGAAAGGTCAAAGGTGAAGGAGAGGAACAGCCAACACAAACGTCTATACAGTCAATGATACAACAATCGAAGGAAACAACCAATCACAGAGCACATTGTCACAGCAAGCCACTAAATCACTGACGGAGAGATATTGACAGCTCACTACTTTATACTGAAGTTAGAGCTGATGATGATGTTGTCTAGGAGAAAGACGATGAAAGCCTCACGATTAAACAACCCAGCTCAGAGAACACAATACAAGTAATACGATCCACCTGAGCTACAAATATTCTTCATTATAGTTTAATTTTTTGTTTGAAGACACTGAATACATTCATTATTTATCAAAATTTGGGTACATTTACTAATTTTTAAGTTTCTGTTGTTTCTCATGAATGATGACAACTTGAATAGATATCTAAATAAACTGGTATCTTTGTGTTCACAAATCACTCTCTATTATAAACAGAATAAATTTTTGAGGGAGTTGTGGAGATTTCGAATTATTTCAAGTTGTTATCGTGAGCTAACAGAAGTTGGAAATATGGAGCATTGGATTGTGACCCAGTGGCTCAATGGTAACCCGCTGGCCGCGGAACCTAAAGGTAGCGGGTTCGATCCCTGCTGGTGGGTGCGCACTGCTGAGGAGTTCCATACTAGGACGAAACAGCTGTCCAGTGCTTCCAGATTTCCTTTGTTCCTCCAACTGATGTCAGTCTACGATGAATAAGAATAAATTTTTATATATTGATCAATGTTTTCAACAAATTTCAGTTCATGATCATAAATTTTTGATGAACACTGTTATAATGAGAACCGAAGAAAGGGCAACTTGATCTTCAAACTTTGACATCACAATGCTCAGTGTTAAGGACCCAAAGTAGCTGGATAAGTTATTCACTAGTAATCAATTGTTGTACATTTCATTCGGTTGAATAAATGTGTGAATCAGATTCTAATCATACAACGATAATAAACTATTAGCCTATATCTTTGAATGTGTAGAAAAAGGGACGAAATTTTAATGATTAAAAGGTTGTAAATACTTCGCTTTAAGTCTACTTCATTCAGTATCTCATAAAGATGTGTGAAGTCTATCATGTGCAGTAATATTATAACAGTGAAGCCTACACAATGCCATACTCATGCGATCATGGCAAAAATGTATATCTTTCAGTTGTCAGATGAAAAAACCATAATCTTATTATATATAGTAATTTTGCTTGGTTGTGGTTAACAGAATAATTTAAGATACGCTTTTTTTCCTGTTTGGCACTTGTCAGCTGGATGTGCCTGCATCCCCTTGCGGAGTGTTGTTCCCACTAAGACTAGAACCTCATACTAATTGCTCAAAACACTAAGGCGTTATCCAATATGCCGTGGTGGCATGATAGCAGCTTCTTGTACAACGGGATTAAATTGTTCGACCTCAGACAATTGCAAGTATATCAATAAATAGTAATCAATAATACGCCTTGTAAAAGAAGTGGCTATCGTGCCTCCGTGGCAAAGTCGATAACGCCTTGGCGTTTGAAGCGACAGGGACGACGTTCGATTCTCATTAAGGACAACATCACTCAGCAATGGGGTGCAGATACATCCAACTGATGCGTCCAAAATAGGACGAAACGAGAGTCCTAGACCTTTCTGTTAGCCTTAACCAAGAAAAACCATCATGATTAATATTCAGGCAATATCCAGGCATCCGCATAGGGGCCTATATGCCAATAAAGGTTAGACGATTCTTAAAATTACAGTCCGTTTTATAGGTCGTTTATACTCAGGATGGTAACTTAGTTGTCATTCAGTTTTTCGAGTTCTTACTACGTTTTCTTAATATCTGAAGTATAGTTAATTTTCAGCATAGTTATACTGTTCAACTAGTGTTCATCATATAAGGAAGATGTCGGTCAACTGGAATTATTGAATTAAAGTTTCATGGTTTATGATGCTCATCGGGAAGAATGATGTGAAGAGTTAAGAATTCATGTTCATAAGAAGACTTGAAGCTAGAGATTGAAGTCAGTCATATCAGTCTGTATTAATTGATTGGAAGCCTGTTTTACAATTCAAAACATCAGTGATAACTATACGGTTTAGTGATTTTTTTCACTTTTACCATAAACAGGCTATTGATAATATGTGAGTAAAACTTGGGCACTGTGGTTGTTTGTAATTCCATTTTGGTCTGTTTATTAGAAATATTACACACAGTGAAACAGTAGCATTTACTGGATAACGTACTATTCGGACACAATTTATTGTCCATATTCATATCAGGTAACTAACTCCACAACTTCAAGACAGACTTTATATATTCCTAGTTTTCTCTCCTTCTCTGTGATGACAAGGGTAGTAAAATTTTTCATATATCTGGGACAGGTGCAGAATCATTTCGATTGCCACATGTATTTGGTGTTGATTCGATAAACAAAGATTCAGTCGGTTATCAATCTCTCCCTCCCTCCCTCCACCCAACTAAGTTAGTTTTCAACACTGTCACCCTATCCCACTCTACTGTGCGACTGATTGTGTGTCATCGCATGCAGAGCTATAGCCGAGTTCTTCTCTAAATTTCTTATCTTATTAGGATCTACTGATCTTGATTTAGCTAAGTTTTTATGCTGTGTTATTCTAATCGACCCTGACTAGTCGACTGCTTTCACCTATGTACTTGACCTCACAATCATTGCAAGGAATCTGGTAGACCAGATTATTTTGCTTAATTGCATCGATAGGATCTTCTAACCTAGAAAGCTTGTTTCTAAGTGAGTTTGTTGGTTTGAATGCCACTTTAATCCCAACCAGCCACATTGAGAATTCTTCGTAGTGCTTCTGAGGTGCCTTCCTTGTATGGTAACACAGCAGAGGCTTTGAATTCTCTCTTAACCCTGTCGCCATTATTACCACTAGTAGTGGGATTATTATTAACAACATCTCTATTATTACTATTACTACTACCACTGCTAATATTTTTCCTTCGATTTCTCATGAATTTATTTATAAATTTTGGTGGGTAATTATTGAGACGTAGGGTATTGTTGATGTGTCTAATTTCTTGTCGCATATTTTCCAATCTACTAGTAAGCTTTTTCTCTCTATCACCTAAGCATTTAACTAGGCCTACTTTCACTGAAATGGGGTGGGAAGATTCGAAGTCTAAGTAGGGATTCGAATGGGTAAGTTTCCTATAGACACTAGTCTCTAGATTTCCTTCTTGTGTTCGTTTAATCTTGCAATCCAACATTGCTAGTTCACCTTCTTCACTTTCCAAGTCACAGGTAAATTGGATTGCATCTACTCCTGAATTTACATGTGCCAAGAACTTATTGATGTGTTGCGATCTGCATCTACATATCGGAACCATATCTATGGAGTAGGATTAAATGTTTGAGGGGCCATCTGT